CATGACGGGCACACTCTCCTATCTATCCAATGTGCATTCTATTTCTCCTTGTTCTGTGGGACTGCCGAATGGAGTTCATGATATTGCTACGCAATGTGGCAGCATTAATTTGGGCTCTTCTCTTCATCTCTCCAATGTTCTTTATGTCCCTTCGTTGGCTTGTAATTTGATTTCTGTATCTCAGCTTCTGCGCCAGTCTTGCTTGGCATTGTTTGTTAATTCTGTTTGTTTGATACAGGACCTAAAGCAGAAGAGGACGATTGGAACGGGTGTTGAACGAGAAGGGGTGTATATATTGTGTGCATCATCAGCTTCTGCTCATGTTGCCAGTACGTCAGATTCTGCAGCACTATGGCATCGTCGTCTAGGACATCCATCTTCCCGTTATTTATCTTTGTTACCTTTTATTTCCAATGCAAACAATTTGGCTCCTTGTGACGTTTGTTGTAAAGCCAAACAACCACGAAGTCCTTTTCCTATTAATAATAAACGTTGTTTACATCCTTTTGATTTACTTCACTGTGATATATGGGGGCCATATCATATGGCATCTACAACTGGTGCCCGCTATTTTTTAACTGTAGTCGATGATTTTAGTAGACATGTTTGGATTTTTTTGATGCGCAATAAAACTGAAACTTCCACATGTTTACTTCGGTTTCTCCACTTGGTTCGCACCCAATATGATGCATCTGTTAAGCGAATTCAGAGTGATAATGGGACTGAATTTTTGTCATCTGTAGTCCAAGAGGCTCTCTCATCCTACGGTATTCATCATCAATTATCATGCACTTACACCCCACAGCAAAATGGACGCGTTGAACGTCGTCATCGTCACATCCTCAACGTGGCTCGTGCTTTGCGTTTTGATGGTCACTTACCTATATCTCTTTGGGGAGAATGCATCTTGACCGCTGCTCACCTCATCAACAGGACACCGACTCCACTCCTTGGTGGTCAGTGTCCCTATGAAGTTTTGCATGGCACTCCACCAAAGTATGATCACTTACGGGTCTTTGGGAGTTTATGTTACACTACTGTTTTACCCAAACCACATGACAAGTTCGCTCCTCGCTCCCGTAAGTGTGTGTTTGTTGGCTACCCTTTCAACAAAAAAGGATGGAAGGTCATGGATATCTCCACTCATGAAATATTTGTTTCTCGTGATGTTTTATTTCATGAAACTATTTTTCCATTGGCTGCAACTTCATCTGCACCTTCTGTCCATGTACCGTCACCACAAGCTGTCTTCACCGATTATGATGTGGCACCTGTTACTGCTATTGATACTCCCACAGCGGAGCTTGATGACAGGGGGAGTTCGTCCTCCCCAGTTCCGGGTTCTATTACTTCATCCACGGATGTCCCTGGTTCACCGGTTCCGTTGACAGAACCCAACACTGCATCTGTGGCAGATATTCGTGAACAGCGTGCCAGACGTCCCCCATCTCATTTAAAGGATTATGTATGCAACACAATGACTACACCCTTTCCTCGTCTCTCCACTTCTCCAATCGACTCAGGTATTCAATATTCCATTGATCATTATGTTTCTAATGCATTATTTTCTTCGCACCATCAGATTTTTCTTGCCGCCGTGGATAGTAACCTGGAACCCAAATCATTTAAAGAGGCTATGCAATATCCTCATTGGCAGAAAGCCATGCAAGCCGAAATTGATGCATTGGAAGCCAATCATACTTGGCAAATTCAACCTCTCCCTTCTGGTAAGAAAGCTATTCCATGTAAGTGGGTGTACCGCATCAAGTACAATTCTGATGGAACCATTGAACGCTATAAAGCGCGTCTGGTTATTGCTGGGAACAATCAGATCGAAGGAGAAGATTACACTGAGACTTTTGCACCGGTGGCTAAAATGACAAGTGTGCGTACATTTTTATCTGTAGCTGTAGCTCGAAAATGGAGCATTTTTCAGCTGGATGTTCAAAATGCCTTTCTCCATGGCGATTTGGATGAAGAAGTCTTTATGCGTTTTCCTCCCGGTTTCTCCCAAACCAAGTCTGGTCACGCCTGTAAGCTTCAACGTTCACTTTATGGTCTCAAGCAATCCCCACGAAATTGGTTTGCTAAGCTTCGTAGTTCTCTCCTCAGTTTCGGCTTTGTTCAGTCTCGTGCTGATTATACGTTGTTCACTTACTCGACTGGTTCCCATTATGTTGCTATACTTGTCTATGTAGATGATATTTTGTTGGCAGGTAGTGATCCTTCTCTCTGTGACCGTGTCAAAGCTCATTTACAAACCTGGTTTAAAATCAAAGATCTTGGTCCCCTCAAGTATTTTCTTGGCATTGAATTTGCTCGAAGCAAGACCGGTTTGTTTCTTACTCAACGCAAATTTGCTTTGGATATTCTTAAGGAATGTGGACTTCAAAGTTGTAAACCGGTTGCTTATCCTATGGATCCCAATCACAAGCTTGCTCTTGCTGAAGGACCTCCGTTTGATGATCCTAAACGTTATAGACGTATTGTTGGCCGTCTTGTATATCTCACGATTACACGACCAGAACTTAGTTATGCAGTTCACACACTTTCTCAGTTTTTGCAGCATCCTATGCAGATACATTACGATGTGGCTATTCGTGTTCTTCGGTACATTAAGTCCAATCCTGGCCAAGGACTCCTTCTTCGATCTGACAGTGATCTTCTTCTTCGTGCCTATTGTGATTCGGATTGGGCTAGTTGTCCCTTGACTCGAAAATCAGTCACTGGTTATTTTGTTACTCTTGGACATTCTCCTATTTCTTGGAAAACCAAGAAGCAAAACACAATATCCCGCTCCTCTGCTGAAGCTGAATACCGTGCCATGGCAGCTGCGACTTCTGAGCTTATTTGGTTAAAGTCTTTTCTCAGCTCTCTTGATATTCCTCATGCAGCCCCTATGCAACTGTTTTGTGACAGTCAGTCTGCTATTCATATTGCTTCTAATCCAGTGTTCCATGAGCGTACCAAGCATATCGAGTTAGATTGCCATTTTGTTCGGGACTATCTTCTCAGCAAGACTATTTCTACTCAACATATCCCCACTAGTTCTCAACCCGCAGATATTATGACCAAAGCACTTGGATCCAAACAATTCGATTTTTTGACTTCCAAGTTGGGCATCTCCTCCCTCCATGCTCCACCTTGAGGGGGAGTATTAGAGTAGCATTAATTTGTTAGGATCCTGATTGTAACTATCACGGTTTGTTACCTTGTATATTAAAATAGATTAGCTTGATTTATGCTTTCTGTTCCTTAGTTTTAGCTGATTTCCTGATGTAAATAGATTAGCTTGATTTATGCTTTCTGTTCCTTAAGTTTAGCTGATTTCCTGATGTAAATAGATTAGCTTGATTTATGCTTTCTGTTCCTTAAGTTTAGCTGATTTCCTGATGTAACCAATTGTAAATCTTGGTCTATATAATAGACCCAATTTGATATATCATCTAGCTGCGAATGACAGCAACTTCTGTTAATATGTAATTGTAAAAAGCCTTCATCATTATGTTCCATTAGTTGCTATCGATCTTTTCTTGGGGGGAATAGTAGGATTTATAATTGATCGCACGTTCCGCTCTTATATCAGCTATAAGTGATGAAAGGTTATCACTTTTACTTAATTTACCCCACGGATCCACGGGTATAGAACTATAGATCTTACACACTCGTGGCACATACATAGGAAAATCATTATACGAAACTTTTGATAGGTCCCTTTTTACCATAACCATAAATTATTATATGTTCTTAAACGCGTTATATAGAATTGTGTTTTCTTTATTACAAGTTGATATAGTTATATATTTATGGGACATGATCTTATGCTTATCTTTTTTTTTTATGTTTATTTTATTACTCAATTTCAATACCGTTAAATCAAAATTTTAAGAAAAGAGAGAAAGGGTAAAGATTAGTTAAAATTTTGATATAACGATGTTAGAGATAAATAGATAGTGTAGGCATCAAAAAAATATAGGCATAATATCTTATCCCCATATTTATTTATATATAAGGACGATTTTACTTACCATTATTTTAGGCTTATCATATCTGATTGGTTACTGTTGGATCAATTCAAAATCAATGATAGTTAATTTTTTTTAGTTTTCAATCGTTGATTTTAAATTAATCCAATGATAACTAATCAGGTTGTAAAAGTGATAAAGCTAAAATGGTAATAAATATAACATTCATCTTTATATATATATATATATATATATATATATATATATATTTTAAGATAAAAAAGATTGAAGTAATAAATCTGTAAATAAGTAATAAATCTTATGATTGATTAAAACTGAATTATCAATATATAAATAATATAAACACAATTTTACTTGACACACCCGGAACATGCAATAATTTTTATACAACAACTAATAAAGTATGCTAAGAAATATCATAAATTTTTGCATGTCATTGATTTTTATTTTGTTTTACATCATAAGGGAGTATGTTCATAAAGGGTTGGTTGAACGTTGAGTCAACAATATTTTCAAAAATTATTTTTTAAAATACAATTTTTTTTAATAATAATAGGAAGCGCATTCTTAAAATTGTTTAGGAAGAAATTTAATTTTGTTGACGTAAAAACTGAACTCAGATTCAGAATACTTTTTTTAGTTAAAGTAGTTTAACTAAAAGTACAACATAAAAGAGAAGCAATCATCAAATAAAAGAAGCAACAAAATAAGCATAGACTAAAAAGAAAAGGAAATAAACAAAAGTAATAAAAAAATAAAAAGGGAAAAGAAAAGAAAGAATCAAAGACAGAGCCACAGAGGCGAAGCAGTTTGACTGCCAAAACGTGAGGGACAGAAAGAGAAGGTATCGGTTAACCCCTCGTCTTGTCATATTCTACCAATTTTCGTTTTCCAAAACATTTCACTGAAATTTTTTTTTTTTTAAATTTGAGGAGAAAAAAAGTAAAGAAAAATTAATAAAAAACTAATTAAAATTAAAATACAACCAAAACACACCAACGATTACTATAATCTCTAGCCAGCTTTTTCCCTTCTCATTCTTCTCTCTCTCTCTCTCTCTCTCTCTCTAAAGTCCAAACTTTGGATTTGTGGAATTACTCTTGTTCCTACCTGGTTTCAACACAGGCTCCTTAATCTTCTCCTCTTGTTCTTTCTGTTAAATATTTTTTTTTGAAAGGTTCAATTTTTTGTTTTGTTGCTGATACCCATTAACATTTTATTTTCTGGGGTCAATGCGGTTATGTTATCTGGAAATTAGGGCTTCAATCCGTGGTCTGGGGTGATTGATTTGGGTTATGTATGGTAAAGGAATGTAGCTGGAGAAAGTGGTGTTGTATTTTGAATAATAAATATTTCATCTTCGTTGCTGGGGATGTTAGATTTTTGTAAATTTGGTTCCTTTTTATCCTGGATTTACGCTATATTACCATTTCTCGACTAATCGGAAGAATAGATTGGGAAATCTCATTGGATTTGAGAATAAAGTTTGGATTTTTTGACCTGCTGAACCCCTTTATGCACAATTGGGTGCTGAATTGGGAACAAATCTGAGCAGAAAAAGTTCGTTATAGTTACTGGGTTTAGGTGTATTGAAGGTCATTTCATGATGGATCATGTGATTGCTGGGAAGTTTAAACTGGGAAGGAAAATTGGGAGTGGGTCTTTTGGGGAGCTTTATATAGGTATGCTCATGTTTCTTCTTCTTCTTCTTTTTTATGGAAATATTAATAGTAATCTTCCTTTTGTAGCATTTTCTTATTTTGTTGTTAACATATTCCTTCCATTGTTTATGTCAGCTGTTAATGTACAAACTGGAGAGGAGGTGGCTGTCAAGCTGGTATGTTAAGTTCTTTTAAAGTTTTTATCCATCTTTTATGTTTAGATGGGGCAAAATGATCAATTGTTTAATTCTTTTATGAATTTCTAGAATCGTCTGTAATAAATCTTCTGATTGCACTTTTAGTATAGTAGATTTATTATAAGATCAAACCATCTTGATTTACCTTGTGTGGAACATGTTTTTAGACTATAAAATGTATTGTGCCTATTGTGGTGTTTTGAAATCCCATGTGGTAGACGTGGTCACTTCAGAAGATGAAGCGTCCTATATATATATATTTTTATCAATGCTATGGGAGTTCCAATATGGATACATGACATTTGGTTTGAGATATAGTTTATTGCTGGAGTAAATAACAAATTTGGAGCAGTACTTAAGGTTTAGAAGAAATCAATAAGATCACTTTATGGATTGCTGTGATTGTGACGTGTGAAATGCCATCTTATCTGTATGGATGCACACTTTGATTCACATTCTTACATTGTGGTTTATCTTAGATTGTTCATCGTATTGTTTCTTTTGCTGTGTTTTGAGATTTTTATTTTTTAAATCAGTTAATGGTATTAGTCTGCTCATTATATTCTCTGTTTTTTACTCTTAACCATCACCTCCTGCCCCCCAAAATTTTCCAGGAACCTGTGAAGACCAAGCATCCACAGCTTCACTATGAGTCAAAATTGTATATGCTTCTTCAAGGAGGAAGTAAGTCTATAACTCTGTTTCTTTTTATCATTTTGTGTTCTAAACGTATTAGCTAATACCTAATGCTAAAGTTTCACATTGAAATTGTTTCTCAATCGTAACAGAACATTTGTACATGTTCCGTTTTCTTGAGTCTGGAGGATAGCCTGATTGATGCCTAGAATCTTCTTCTGTTATGAAATCAGAACCATTAGTCTTAAGACGTGCCCTTGAAGTAAAGCTAGGACTGAAAAAGTATCAGAAAACAATTGAGATGTTTCCTTTTGAGTAATCCAATTTGTTTCCTTATTGAAGCTGGGATTCCCCACCTCAAGTGGTTTGGAGTTGAGGGAGACTACAATGTCATGGCAATTGACCTTCTTGGACCAAGTCTGGAAGATTTGTTCAATTATTGCAACCGGAAGTTAACATTGAAGACAGTGTTGATGCTTGCTGATCAATTAGTAAGTCAACAAGACAACTATTATCTAACAAAACACCTCAAATAGTGATATTAATGTTTTACTTGCTTCATGTTATTGTTCAGATTAACAGAGTTGAATATATGCATTCAAGAGGTTTCCTTCATCGTGACATAAAGCCTGACAATTTTTTAATGGGCTTAGGACGTAAAGCAAACCAGGTATATTATTTTGTTGAAGATGCTTTCTTTCATTTTTTTTTCTTCTCCTTTTTTTTCTTTTTCTTTTTATTCTTCTTATTTATTTTGGAAGATTTTGGTTGTTATTTTATTGTTTTTGATATGAATGGAAATTGTAATCCCCAGACAGTCAAAACACATTTCGGAATACGTACCTTTGAGAGAACTGAGTTCTTCCAAAAAGTGTCAAGGGAAGTCATAATATGATGATATTATGCTACTATTATGTGTAAGAAGCTAAGTTGCATGAGTTTGCTTCAGGTTGAACAAGAAAAAAAGGAGAAGAATGTGCATCTTCTCTAAGATGAGAGAAGAATGAAAGAAAAAGACAGTCAATTGAAAAACTGTGAGAAAGCCACCTCAACTAGTCTTTTGGCTGTGTCTCCATGAATGAACTTCAGGTTTTGCCTAGAAGTTTCAGACCTTCAACCACCTAAAACTCAAACATAGCTGCAATATACAAATCCATCAAACCGTATCTCGCGCGCCGCCCGCCCCCCCCCCCCCCCCCCCCAGCTTTCTGCCTTTATTTTCCCTCACACAGGGTAGATTGGCTATTCTATCTTGTCCTATTTGATACCTGATTGGTTTAGAGTGATTAAGTGAAGATTTAAGAGTTGTTTTCTACAATAAACCATGAGGCAGCACCTCACCCTGCCTCAGGTTTTGGCATGAAATAGCCACTTTTCTACCTTGAAACTCACAGGTGTTTACTTTATTCATCACATGCAAAGTGATTGGGCAGCATTTTAGTCAATAAACTTCCTCTGGCTCTTTTTATTGTCCTTTGGATGGATGTTCTAGGAGCACGTCTTGTTTCCCAATCATTTACCTCTATTCTATTTTAATGGAATCATCCTCTTTGGTGCCACTAAAATAAATTATTGATAGATTCTGATAGAAATAGTCAAGTTGAATGTGCAAATTCCAGTTCTTTTAACTATATTTATATCATGTTGGGTATCTTATTTCAGGTGTACGTCATTGACTATGGTCTTGCAAAAAAATATAGGGATCTTCAGACTCATAGGCACATACCATACAGGTAAATTTTTTAATCATTATATCAGGATATCAAGGTGCAGTATAAACTACACTTTGGGACAAACCCAACCTTCTGTTACCTTATTAGTTGCACAGGTCTTCATTGGATTTAAGCATTTACATCACTTTAATACTGTTTTCTAAGTGGATAATCTTCACCTAAATGTAGGTTATATTAGTATCATTCCCTGTGATAATAATAATAATAATAATAACAACAATCGAGCTCACTGTAAATTATCTTAAGGGTGGTTGTGTTGGCTGGCATGTATGTATGCTTATCACAAATTTGAACTAGTATCTAGTACATTCTGCACCATAAATAGCATAATGGAACAAAAACATTTTCTGACCTGTCATCTATAACATGACTTCAGGTCTCTATTACTTCTCTATTTTCTCTTTCTAATACCAAATACATCATGAAGATGTTCTTTTACTTTAATTTTCACTATAGTTATATTTCTTAGCTTTTGCAAAATTCATATTTCTTTTGTTGTGAAAAGCTATCTTTCTTGCATAGGGAAAACAAGAACCTTACAGGCACAGCTCGGTATGCCAGTGTCAACACTCATCTAGGAGTTGGTAAGTAACATGTTGTGGTAGTTCGTTCCTTTTTGTGTTGAAAACCAATAGCTTTCTTTTGTTATTTTTACTTTATTTTGTTGGCAGAACAAAGCAGAAGGGATGATCTGGAATCTCTTGGTTATGTGCTCATGTACTTCTTAAGAGGAAGGTTGGATACTTGATAGACACATCTACTTTACCCCCTACTAAATTTGGATATCTTTACAATATATATTTTTTCTTTTCAGTCTTCCTTGGCAGGGACTGAAGGCTGGCACCAAAAAACAAAAATACGATAAAATCAGTGAGAAGAAGATGTCAACTCCTATAGAGGTATTATGACTGGCTGGATCAGTGAGACTTTTGGAGAAATTTTATATTCCCTCAGAATCTAGAGTTTGATGCTTTGAATTTTGTTGGATGTTGACTGGCCTGATCTGTACTTGAACCTGGACGTTTGATGCCATATAGGTTTAGAAGACAGGCCGAGCCTGAGAGCCAGCCCCATAATACTTTGTGGCTTTAAATGTGAATATTTGTACTAACCAAATTGCATGTTTCTCGTGTGCATTAGAAACTAGATTTACTTATTCTACTAATATTGGATGCTATGACCAACTAAATGCTCTCAGGTTGATATTCACTTTTTAAGTCTTAAATCATATATTCATTGCATTTAACAGTTGGCATAACTTGTATATTTTGGCTTCTACCTTTTCCCTTCTGTTCCAGTTTTCAATTTTATTGATCCTATTGCTTGGTTGTTAATTTTGTGCTTGTATAACAGGTGCTCTGCAAATCATATCCTTCAGAGTTTGTATCATATTTCCATTACTGCCGATCATTGCGGTTTGAGGACAAGCCTGATTATTCATATTTAAAGAGGCTTTTTCGAGATTTGTTTATTCGAGAAGGTCTTATTCCCAAGATATCTGATTTGTATATTGGCATTCAGTATACTTTGTTGGAAGCTTAGGGTTTGTTTGGTTTGTATTTTTTTTATTTTTATTTTTCCATGTTCAGTTGATATGTTTTGACTAATAATTACAAAATGTCTCCTTGTTTTCATTTGGCTTCTAGTTTTCAAGAATTTGCTAAGGAAATGATGAATGAAACAACAAAATCTTGTTTTCACCATTTTCTTTGCTAATTCTTGAAATCAAGAAACAAAGTGAAACTGAAAACATGGTCGTATTTTTGTAAATTTTTTGTGAAAACATATCAACTAAAAATGAAAACAAAACATAAACCAAACCAAATGCACCCTTAATGTGTTAAATGATTGCAAATTGATCTGGACCTTATTGTTAATGCAGGCTATCAATTTGACTATGTTTTTGACTGGACTATATTGAAGTATCCGCCTGTTGGTAGCAGCAGCTCTAGAGGGCGGGTTAGTACTTTTATATCTTGCTCGTTTGGATTTTGCTTTCCAGTAGAGGTCACTTACTATACTTGTTGTTTAAATAACAGCATGGTGGTGGCAAGGAAGCTATGAATGCAGGACCATCTGTACAAAAGCCAGAAAAGATCTCAGGTCCACTCTCTTTCATCCAAATAAGACAACGAAATTTTGTTATCCTACTAATTCTTAATGGATGGACATGAATTTTGAATTTTGAAAGCATTCAACTAAAATTATCATTTTCATTACTGACATCAATAGTGGTCAAACAAACTACTATTGCTTTTCCCAAATTTACTTTAGTGTAATACTTGGTCATGCAATTGCTTCTTTCAGTGGGGAAAGAGATTCGAGAGAAATTCTCTGGTGCTGTTGAAGCATTCTCCCGGAGGAACCCAACAAGTTCTAGTCCTCGTGGTGATCACTCCAAACATAGGACTTTTGAGGATGTAGCAGTACATAAAGATGTGGTAAATATTCTTTTCCAACAATAAGAATCTATAAATGATTAAAATTACTTATATTATTTTCCTGTTTTACTTATGATGGCCAAAACCTATATGTATATATATATATATATATGTATATATATATATATATATCTTTATATTACTCTAAATTATTCTTACGTTGTATATTTCCGACCTCAACTAATTTGAAATAAAGATGATGTTGATGTTGATATTCTTATGTTGTGTTTTCAGTATCATGATCAAGAGAAGGGACGCAGTACCTCACGATATGGGAGCAGTTCAAGAAGAGCCATAATCTCATCATCAACGAGGCCAAGTTCCTCAGGTGATCACACTGACAGCCGTACCGGCCGGCTAACCTCAACCGGTAGCCGTCCATCCACCACGCATAGAAGTCAACAACCAACTTTCACACGCTCAGGATCTACTAGAGCCAATCGCGATGATCCTCTGCGTAGCTTTGAGCTCCTCTCTATCAGGAAGTAACGACAAGTATCTTCATTTTGTCACAAGACATTTTTTTCTAAATTCTAACGCACCTGTTTATTCAACAACGATCTCAAGCATTACAGAAATCATGTTCATGTATATTTCTGAGTTACCATGATGTCATAAAAGACATCACTTCCTGATATCATCTTCTGGACCAAGGTGGACTATTTTCGGAAGATCGCTGCTGTAACATGCTCCAGAGAACTCATTTGGGGTTCTTTTTTTTATTATTTAAATTTTTTGCTAGAAAAACGTGTTTACTTTCTCTTTAAAAAAAATAGATGGAACTAGTTTTGTAGTTTATGATACACTTGTTATTGTTTTTTCTCAATGAGACACAGCAGTACTGCACTGTCTCTATGTTACCCTTGTTATGAGAGTCGAATTTATTGACGAGTTCGAATTTGGTCTCAAGCTAAATAAGTAGTATGAGACCTTCCACTACTCATTTCTTCTACAGCTCATACTCACATGGGGGATGTTTTTGCCAAAAATTTAAAGCTAAAACTAGTTCAATTTGTTTGTGTAAAGTTGGTTTTATTGTATTCTATTTTTTATTATTGGTTCTATTTTTTTTTTATCGAGATTTTTGTTTCTTTTTTTTTTAGTAGTGTCACTTTGCTTTCTCTTAATTGTTTAAATTAAATTTCACCCAAAAAAAATTGTTTAAAGTAAAAGTTTTCTTATTTGTGTTTTCTTTCCCTCTATAATTGAATTTTAAATTTGGTTATGTTGTCAAAATTTTACTTTTAAAAAAGTAGTGAACAATATTTGATTGTAGAATTGACTGATACAAATTTTAACCAAACTAAACCTATTTTGAGGTTGCCTGTTTTCCTCTCGGTTTTGTCTTGTTAGGTCTAGAACTTGTGAGTGAGTGGGGTGTATCAATTCAATTACGTTAAATGTAGCAGTTTTTTTTTTTAAACACAACGGTGGCATTGAAGTTCGAACCTATAATTTTATGCACACTATCCAATTCCTTCACCATTAAATCAATTCTAAAGGCTTGTTAAATGTAGCAGTTAGTAAAGCTTTATAAGAAATTTTCAATTAAGGAGCAGATTGGAACGATAGAAATCAAATAATTACAGTGACAATTGTCTGTTTTAGTTATTATTTAACTGAATAACACTTTTAAGTTAATTGGACACTTTCTATTTCTTAATAGAATAAAACATTTTTATTACAGCAAAGGATCAAATTTAAACTAAGAGACGCTGGATGATGCTTGCACTTTATCAAATGGTTATTTCAAATTTTGGTTAATTTATTTACGGGAAAACCATCGTAGTTTCTAAAAGCAACTCTTGATAATACACGGTCTACATGAGCAATTAAATAGTGTACAACATTTCCCTTCCACAGAAGCAATGAATCTATCTCATTTAATAATGATCATTCTGAAGTTCCACGTAAAATATTAACACATCAATATCATTCCAAAATAATGTCATTCTAAAGTTCCACTGGCATTCTTGTAAAGTATTATTTTTTTTTAGATACCAACCGGTGTCCAATGTCCCAAAGGACCTGAGTAATCCCATTTCGGATTTGTGCAATGTTCTATGTACTTGGTAGCAGTAAAAATAGGTGGAAAGAGAAGACACAAAAAACAGTGATACATCTAGACAAATACTATGTTTAATCATACTATCATTCATCCCCAACTACAAGAAGTAAGTTGTCCTTCTCGGCTTAGAACCTTTGCATAAGGCTCAAGCACGAGAGAATTTCATAAATCAATATTGATACATAATAATTTCAACGATACATATACCCACACTAAACTTATGAAATCCCTAGAAGAACATAGTTCAGGAAAGAATTCTAGTTTAAAACTTGAGATCGAGAATCACATAATCTCAAACAAAAATTACGGGTTTCTAAGAGCCGCCAAACGCTTCTCAAGGTCATCAACGCCCGAGCTGAAATGGCATAAAATTTCAAAGGTCAAACAAACTTAAAAAGAAAGCAAACAACTAAATAAATTTTAACTTATTCATGCAATACTACTATACATATGGAGCCACAGTAAATTCTTCATGACTTAACAAGTTACACAGAATTTCATATCTTCCTTTCTCTAAACTTTTATTTTTTTTCTTTTTTCCTTAAAGCAAGACAGAAGATACCTGCTGACGTTTTCAGTATTTTTTGTTGCGACTCTCCCTTTGGGAGCTGCTGATAACTGCCAAAGAGTTCAAATACAATACAAATTAGCTTGAGCAAAAGCATTATGACAGATTATAGGGAGTGCAGAGATTAATAACAGCAGATTCCAACCTGTGAGACAACATCCACACCAATTTCATCGAGCACCTGCCAAAAAAAGGTTAAGTGAAATTGCCATCAGTTTCTTTTGGTAATTTCAAAAGCTAATGTCATTCCCAAACAATAAGATCTTCGACTTCTGCTCATCCAGACTCGTTACTCTTTGTGAATCAGAAACCATTCTTTCAAAAAATTTTAAACTAAGCCACAGCAAATCATAACATATTCAGAATTTTAAAAGTAGCTTCAGGTCTTGAGAAGGAAACATTATGGTAAGTAAGCCATACCCTTCTCTTGATTTTATTTTATTTTTAATTTAGGGGCTATAAGGGAATCCTAAGCTTTTCACGATTAGTCCCCTAATTATCTCCACTAGATTATGGATTAGCCCAGTGGCATCTATTGACCCATGTAGCTGACTCCACCGAGTCGGATAAGGCTTGGTGGTTGCTGTTGTTGATTCACGATTGCCCCAAGCCCAGGGTGAGTTATTGCTGAGATTAGGATCCAAAACTGGACCTATGATTCCGAGCACCGCTAATCCTTAGGGATTGTAACACAAGATATACATGTTATTCCTCCTAGTAAACTGCTTCATGTGAAATAAATTGGTTAAGTATTTGAAAAGTAATCAAGTAAAAAGCCTTGCAAACATTGCAGAATAAAAAAAAGAAAAAAGAAGAAATGAAGAAAAGAAGAAGAATAAGAATAAGCAATAGATGGTAATTGAAGGAGTACCTGATTTGTCAGCTCTTCAGTCTCCTCTTCAGCTTCATCATTATCCAATGCATCATCTATGGTATCTGACATCATTTCAGTCTGCACATAAAATCATATACCATTAAGTCCAAAAGCTATTGAAACAAAAAACAAAGGTTTCCTGTTTTTTCCAACTTGTAAAATTAGTAAAACTAAAGCATCATCTTACAGTCATATCCATCTGTGCCGATTGTTTCTGAAAGTCCTGCATAATTTTGGCTTGCTTTGCAGGTGCCATTTGCTGCAATGAATATTCTAATTTAGCACAAGGGAAAAAGATAAAAAGTGGTGTAGATATTAGTTTATGGACTCCAATGTCAAGGTTTTGTTTAACTAAGAGGAAGTTAGAAGAACTGCTGTTATCATTGCGGCTATTCTGAAATACAATTTTCCTTTTAGTTTCTCCTGGACATGCACCATCCATTTCTCTTAGTCTTACTTCCGTCCTATGTGTGTGCAAAAGAACAATCTGATGTTCATGACTATTCTGTGGAAACTTCACAATCTCACGAACCCCACAACAACCCGTAAACATCAACTTTATGCCCCACCCCCTCAACCTTGTACAAACTTACACACCGCTCCATGAATAAACATCAAATGTATTCATGCACTCATTAACAATGTGTCAAACATTATAAGAACTTTGTCCCCAAAAAAGGCTTTTCTCTCTCTCTCTCTCTTTCTCTCTATTTTTTTTTTTTTTTGAATAAAACCAATCAAAATGTTGCTATCATGGCCCAATATGAAAAAATTGAACAAGCACCCATAAGAGTTGGCACAACTAATTGAACCTTCTGCCCACGCTAACTGTGGCTTGGGTTCAATTATCAATTTTCCCTCTTTGGTAGGTGCTATGTAATCCCACTTCAAATCCTCGATGATGTTGGTAGTCTTCCCAGACTTTGCATGGGGACGTGCCTCCTCTAATCTAAACTTTCTATGTAAATAAAATAAAATTGAACAAGCATATTATGCACTGAAAAAATACAAGATTGAGTCAGCTACCTTATTCATAGAAGCCATTGCCTTAGTAGCACCTTTCATGCCAACAGCAACAGAAGAATGGGCATGCATTGCCTGCATGAAATGAAAAGGATAGCTAAGACAAGAAGCACAAAGCACATAGCTGCTTAAACACATCACAAAAAAATAAAAAAATAAATAAGAAGCCTTAAACAATCTACCTGGGTGTGAGTTGCTATGCCTCTCATCTGAGCTCGACTACCTTGAAGATTAGCAATTTGTTGCCTAAGCCTAACCAACTGGCGAGCTAGAACTTTAGTTGCTGCCTGAGAAATGCAGGGTCAAAGAAAATATCCAGTTTTAAACTCCATCCAGCACATCAAGGTCACAGCTTCTCAACTCTGCATAATATCAGCAGAAACGAAAGATCATACCTCGTTTCCCGTCTTAGCAGTTCTCTTTATCTCAGCAACAAGCTTTTTTTCCTAATAACACAAATAACCCATATTATACATTTATACACCATATACACCTCTGTAAGAATATCAACTTACATCCGTGTAACAATAATAAGACTTACATTCAATCTTAGTCTATCTACATGCATACAACTGTAATTTATTGAAAATTAATAATTATATAATGGATGTGATCCAATAAATTACTGTCATGTCATCAGATGTAAGGATATCAACAGCTAAGTCTGAGTATAAGAAATATTATTCTTACACGGGTATAACACCAAAAGTTAAGGAAGAGGATGATAACTCGTAAATAAGTAACTGTTTCACATACTTACTTCCAATTGCAATGATCCAATTTCCCTCTCTATACCTGTAGTAATAGCATATCAGAAAACTAGGAGACATATATTAATGCATACAAGGAAATTTCACACCTCTAACTTAATAATCAAAATTCAGAGGTGATTGATTGATTGATTGATTTGGAAGTTAAAGTGGATCAAACACTAAGAAAAGCGTATATGATGGATGCTGAAATATATATATATACCTCTAGTAGCGGTTGCCATTTCTCGTTTACTCTCCCGAAGAGCCTCTGCGTGAAAAGAAAAACATGGCGTTTTAACCAAAACAGAACGAATTTGAGGATCAAAAAACATAACGGTAATTTAAATAGCTAAGAAAGCGAGAATTTGGTGAAAGGTAAAAAGAAGAACCTTTGGCGGTGGGTTTCTTGGTGAAGATGTTCATGATGAGGTGTCACTATCAAACGAAGCAGAGAACACCCAATCCCAAATCTTGGGCAAAGGCAATTACAGAGAGATGATTACGATGATGATGATGATGCACAACACAGCACAACCCCAAGGAGAAAGGGAAGAAGGATCGTGGAAACTTTGCTAAATCCAATGATCCTAATTTTCGTGTTTCTTTATATACTTTCTTAACTTTTCGCCCTCTTTCACTTTTCTAATCCAATATATATTTTTCTTTTAAGACATTATAGAAACCGCGTTTTTCCACGTATTTTAAGCATAAAAAAATTAAATGATCTGATTTTTAATTTAAAAAATAGGGAAAAGATATTGTAACAATCAATTAGTGTTACTACCAATCAATTTCACCGTTAGATCAATTATGTTGATCCAACGGTTATATTTATTTCCATCTTTGTATGATTATGATTCTCCATATTTAATACTTTATATTTATTTTCACCTTTATATAGTCATGATTTCTTATATTTAATGTTTTCACATTAAATATAGTGAATCATGACCATACAAAGATGAAATTAAATATAACCGTTAAATTAACATAATCGATCTAATGGTAAAATTGATTGGTAGTAACATTGGTAGTAACACTAATTGGTTATTACAATATCTTACCCCTTAAAAATAAAAATAATTTATGGCTTTAATGTTTACTCCAATATAGGTCAGACTATACTTATAATTTGAGCTTACACATATTAACAGACCAGGGTAAGGAGCCAAACCTAAAATATTTTACACAAATATGATCTATTTAAATCAAAACTTAGCCCAACTTTACATTCCTAGTTGCAATTCATATATATATATATATATATATATATATATATATATATATATATATGGGCTTAACATTTCTGCAGCAGCCGTAGATAATGTTATCTACAGCTGACACAGAAAAGTGGACCCCACGACTTTTTAAAAAAAAAATAAAAATAAAACTCAGGATCCGTTGCTGTATCCTAAGATTCGGACGTGTATCCTTGCTTGCTGTAGGTACAGCAGCTGCAGAAATCATTTTGCCTATATATATATATATATATATATATATATATGAAAAAAGTGTTTGTCATTTTAAATGACATAAAGTTATGTCATTTTAAGAGAGAGACAGACACATAAATTTTTTTTATTTGAATTTTAAATTATAAAAAACCACCCACTTTCTCTCTCCCATGATTTCCGTTTTTCTGTGTCTATCTCTCTCCTAAAATGACATAACTTATGTCATTTAAAATGACAAACACTAAATCCATATATATATATATATATATATATATATATATATATATGAGGCAGGATCCTTTGACACCAGTGTCAAATTTGAAATTTGACATCACATTGCATAAATCATACATCAACATTATTTATAACTAGTTGTTAGTTCGAGTTAAGTAAATTGGGTATTCAAGTTTGCCGTTGAGCAATCATATTTTATTTTGGGTTTGATGTTTTTAGATAAGATTATTTTCTACATATACATAAAAGTGTATAGGACTCATATGACGTCATGTAAAGAGAAAAAAAAAATACGTCTCACGCACTTTTATGTGTGTTATCTTCTATAAATGTTACATAATGCTATGTATTCCGATGACTATAGTTACATCTTACTATAACTACAAGAGGATGATTTTAAGTGTAAACTAAAAAAAAAGTGCAAGTGACTTTAACGGTAGTGAAAAAAATGTTTGTAAAGGAAACGCATGTAATTACGTTATAGTGCATTACTAGCATTAACTAATTGTATAAACATCTGTACATTAATAATTGATAAAAGTAGAGTACTACAATATATTACAAATTAAGGAAGGGGGTAAATAGCATTCTAATTTCAATTATTAACTACGAAACACTAACTAATAGTATAAGAATACACTCTAATTTGCGTAATTTCTCAAAATATCTTCGTTAGATCCTCTCTCAACTTGTTCATTTTCTTCCAAAGACCTATGTTTGTTCCTAGATTTGGAACTGGATCTAGAAGGGGTTCCTTCATTCAAATTGGGGTCTCTAGTTTGAGCTTTTGATCTGATTCTAGATGAGCCACCAACATTGGAAGCATCTCTTGTCTTCTTGGAGTGAGACCTTCTAGGAATGTCTTGTTGGCTCCTAGGTGGCAAATCACTCCCATGAAGTTGCATTGAATCCATATCAGTGATGTTCATGAGTTGCTCTGTGGGTTTGGATCCATTGAACGAATCATTTGGATGTGATTGGTTTGATGACTTTTTTGGGTGCCTTGGCCTATCTGACTTTTCCTTTGCATGGGACTCTCTTATATTTCCTGTTGAATTTGATTGCCTCCTTGATGATTTAGGCAACTCCTTCTCTTGGCCTTGACAATTTGCAGACCTTGAATCTCTTTTCATTGAATCTGTGTGGGAACATTTTTAACAACTAGATTCATATAACTGTTATTATTATTTTGGTTTTTATTCTTGTTTTTTTCCATATACGTTTCAATTCAACCAAAAAAAAGAATTGAAAAGCCAATACCAACTTGTCAGAATGCTAAAGAATCAGTGAATGACAAGTGATTAGTTATCATTATTTGTTAATGTTATAACTTTGTTAATTAATTACTTGTCATTCACTCATTTTGGTCTAAATTAAACAAGTTGGCTTAGTTTGAATTTGAAATCACAAAAGGAGACATTTTGTATGTCAAACTCAAAGCATGAAAACATAACATTATGTACCTTCAGAGATCCATTTGGCTGAGTTGTCAGATCCTTTGCTATGAATATCTCCATTAGAATTTAGAGGTGCAGATGAAATTCCTAGGACAGATTTAAAGTCGTTCATCTGAAACAAGTGAAATAATGCTCCAAAGGCCTTTTTTTAATGATGCAAAATTTACACTAACAGACACACATAATGACACAAGCATTTATATTCTCACAGTGCATTAAAGTTATACAAAGAGTAATTAAGTAGTTAATAAGTGGCTTAATTTTCTACTTGTTTGAATATGTTAATTAACAACTATTTTTTTTTTTTTGAGAAAATAGAGATTTACCCAGCTGGGAGAATTTTCAGAGGGACCATCACAACCGATATGCGCCACATGCTTTACATCTGTGGGATGACCAATCTCAATTTCTGGTTCTTTTTCATTATCTGCAAAGTGAATGTGTGGTGGTATTCCTTTAATTAATCACCACCATTATTTCTTCTACTATATCTATATGCATGAGAATGGTAAATGATATAATAACTCGTTATAAATACAAAAACTAATTAGAAGAAGTGGAAATTTACGTTACATACCAAATATCTGAGAAATGAATCTTAGGCCTTTAAGGAGGCCCTTCACCTTACTGTTGTTGGACATGTCAAACAAATCTTATGTGTTTGAATTCTCTTTACAAAAGTAATATAAAGCTATACAAATGTTCCAAGAATCCATTCATTGTTGAATTGAACAAATGTTACATAGACAACCCATCAATGAGGATAAGTCATATATTTTTACTATTTTTTTTTTTCTTCCTTCCTCCTCAGAACCTGCAAACATGGTCTTATGTCATTTGAAAAAAATAGATAAGATAAAAACTTCAGGCAGTTTTTGACATATGTGTCATGGAAATGTCTATGATGAGGAAAGGGATGAATGTAACAAATCAATTCTGTTTAAAAGCACACCCATTTTTAATTTAGTTGATTCTACGGCAATAGTTTGCTTGCTGATTTTCCCCTTCAATTAAAACCAGAAGCTGATCGAAATTTCAGGGGTGACAATGAGAATAATTGAAAGGAAAATAAATCAATCTTAAAAGGTGCTAAATTTAGCAAGGCCTTAACAGGTTATGTCTCCAGAATGAGATCAATGTATGATGTCTAATATTTATGGGTTATACACAAGGTGTGGCTATATACATAGTCAATACATGAATGGAAAATAACTTATTGTAGAGGAAAACAACTGAATATTTTCCATTTTCTTATTTCATGGATGCAAAGAGACAAAAAAAAGACATTTATCCAATAAAGAAGTTTTATGGGGATTATATTCATATGTTACAGGAATTTTTTTTTTTTTTTTCTTTTCAAAAAAAGACAAATTATATAATGGGAAAGATATACTTATCACCAAAAAAGTTTACAACCTTTACAACTAACCTAATCATCATTGATTTTCGTCAATCTAACAGTTATAATTTATTGAAATTTTTTGGATTGCATTTATTAATAATTATTAATTCCTAATGAATTATGATCGTTAAATTGACGGAAATCAACAATGATTAAATTGATTGTAAAGGTGATAAACTTTTTTGGTGATAAGTATATCCTGCCCATTATATAATATTAAAAAAAGTGAAAAGACACTTTATCCAATAAAGTAATTTTATCTCTTTTTTAACAGCAAAAAAAATTTAATTCCTATAATACGAGGGATATAAATCCCAAATTTTAAAGCAGGGAAGTCGTTGGGCTGTGGGCAATGAAACTACTATGGAATTTTTTGACAGCCCTAGGCATTTTAAACCAATCCATACCATCATCCGGTAGAACCAATTCATTAAGTATCGGTTTGGGTCCTCAAAATGTTTTTGGTTTAATCCAAACTAACCCAACTGTTCGTCCCGGATCAACTCAAATGGGGTGAATTGAATTATCTAAATTTAATAAATTTAAATCAATGCTAATTTTTCAATAATAATTTTGACCAATAAAAAATATAATAAAAAGATAATACAAGTAATTACATGAGAAAAATTCTAAAAGGAGGGAAAAAATTCACGACTCAAATTTGTATACCTCTATTCAATTAGGAGACAAATTCATTACATTAAATCACGTTCAATTCAAAATACACGAATAAAACATATTCTACCCTTATATGAGAATTTACTCAAACTAACCTATAGATAGGGATGGCAAAAACGAGTCAACTCGTTCTAAATGAGTCGGGTCGGGTTGGCCTAAATGAGCTGCCAACCCGACTCAACCCGACCCGATACAACCCAGACCCAAACGAGCCAGCCTGCGGGTCAAACGGGCCAGCTTGCGGGTTGGGTATTTTTTTTTTAATTAAAAAATAAAAAAAATAATATGACTGTATTAAAAAAAATAATAATAATAAGAAAGATGAAAGCTTACATTTTGAACTTGTAAATAATTAGCTTTTCCAATTAGAAACTTATAAATTTTATTAAGAATATGGTAGCATTTTGGTCCATTTGTATGTTTATTACTGTCAAGTATTTTTTTTTTTCATTTTTTTTTTACCGTTTGATTTTATTTAGCTTAATTTTGATCAGTGGAAGATGAAAGCTTACATTTTGAACATTAAACTTGTTTAGTACAAGTCCATAAATAAGACTAGTTCCACAAAAATCAATTTTTTTGAGCTAACCCACTGGCATCATTTCGAGCTAATCCACGAGCTTTTTTTGAGCCAACCCGTGAGCTTTTTTCCGAGCCAACCTGCGAGTTGATTATCGAGCCAACCCTAACCCGGCTCAGGTCGGGCTGGGTTGAGTTTTCTGGCTTGTTTATTTTTTCGGGCCAACCCTAACCCGACCCGTTTTTTACGGGTTGAATGTGGGTTGGGCCGGGTCTAGCCGGGTTGGCCCGTTTTGCCAACCCTACCTGTAGATTTAGGAACCCTAATTCACCCTAGTAAATTGTGCCCAATTGTCAAACCCCGACAATTGGAGGCCTAAATCCATTTCTAATGAGTTATAGTGCCTTGTTTTTAAGGGTATAAGACTATATGGGAGTTGGTTTAGTCTCTCCTAATATGATTTGGAGTCCCAACTTGTTTTACCCATTGTTTATGGCTAGTAAAACTTTAAGTCTTGAAGATGTGTAGTGGATGAATGAATGTATGAGTATGAGTATATTTATTAAAATTAAATGCCATGTTTGATAAAGAAAAAAGTTAATCCATATTTTTACATGAGAGTGATTGATTAAGTCACAAGTGTAAGAGCCTCTTTGCATCCTCTCTTTTTTAAGCTAGAAGCTACTTATAAGCCAAAGCTAAGAAAAAGAGCTTAAAAAAAAGCTAAAAGTTGTTTGGTAATTACATAAAAGTTTTAGCTTAAAAGTTGCTTAAAAGCACATATTTCAAGAAAATTATTTCTCTCTCTATCTTTATAACTCTTCATTTAAAAAAAAAACACACAATTCAAGAAAAGTAGATAAGAGCTTAAAAAAAAGCTCCTTCTTAGAGCTTTTAGCTTTTTTCTTCATTATAAAAAAGAGAGTTTTTCATTATAAAACTTTTTCCAAAACCTGTTTGACCTAGCTTATGCTTATAAATAGCTTATAGCTTAAAAAAAAATCCAAACAGGCACTAAGTGGCAAAGTAAAACAAATTTATTAATGATTTCTTAAGTATTTTTGCCTTGCTTAATACCATAATGAGTTAATACACCAGATGTACACATGGTGTTACATTTTAACTAAATTATCTTTCAGCTTAATTCTAAGCCAAAAAAAAGAAATCCCTAATTATTACTAGATAATTGATTATGTATTGCCTACTCCGGCAATAGCTAAAACAAGAATAAAAGAAAAGTTACCTTAAAGGCTTCTAAATAATAAACAAATAGGTACAAAGTTGCCTTAGATGGTGCACTCAATAAATCTATTCATGCCTTGGTTTCCAAATTATTTTGAGTGAAGAAGAAATACTTATAGCATGTTCAAGAATGCTCACCCCCACTTTGAAGAAAGACCCAAAGTATAGTTGTTATATATTTTTTCTCAAAATCAAATCCTACAGAAAAAATCTCTAAATTTTTGCATTAAGGATTCGTTTGGATGAATTTTTTTTTAAAAAAAACGACTTTTTATGCATTATTTTTTTAAAAGAACTTTTTTTAAAGATAAATTATTTTGCATTTGGATATATGATTTAAATTTTACTTATATATAAAAAATTCATTTGGATGTTAAAATAAAAAAAACACTTTTCATATATAAGATTACTAAAAACATATGTAAATTTTTTTTTTTAACATAATATATGGGGTTTTTGCAAATGTGAAATTTGAAGAATGTGATTTGAGGCCACTCAATAAGATGATCCACAAATAGTAATGCATAATGCAACATTCCAATTAGTAGAACTATGATTTTGGTATATTTCTATTATATATTTTTAATTATGGGAAAAATATTTGTCCTTTTAAATGACACAACTTATATCCTTTCACTTTCATAAATAGGTGGGACCCACATCTTTATATTTTTTTGTTCACTCTCTCTCCACCTTTATCAATCTCTTTCTCTCATTTAAAATGACATAACTTTACATCCTTTAAAATGATACACATTTTTCCCATTATTATACAAGATACGGTAATAGCGTTTTAATGGCACTATAGTGTGGAGTTTAGGGTGACTGATTTTTTTTTTTTTTTTTAAGTTCTCTCAATTGTTTTCCATGAGATGACCGGACTGCTATGAGAACTCAAAAGTAAGAATAGTCAGAACCAAAAATAGCAATTGTGGGATGAGAAAAAAGATGAAACAAAACTGTACCTTGAAGAAGAGATGATACCAATGAAAACCAAGAAGATGAAGATATTTGGTTGTAAAGTGATAGGTTGTTAGAAGATTTTTAGCTTAAAAAAAAGCCCACGATGATAATGGGATAAAGAGAGATAACATGATTGTTAGTATGAGATTAAAATTGTATTTTAAAAAATTGTATTATCTTTTAATTTTTGCTTTTTTCAAAAGCAACCAACCCTTGGATAAAATTAAAACAACATTTTAACTTTTATTTTAAATTTTGATTTTTAAAAAAAGTTGTTATCCAAATATCTAAATTTTCTCAAAAGGACTTTTTTTTGAAAAAAAAAATACTTTTTTAGAAGAAAAAGACCATTTAAATGGGGACTAAATCTATTTTTCAAGGTTATCATAATTTTTAGGAGAATTTTCCAAAATTTCTTTATCAAAAATGGAATAAAAAAATTCAAATTAATTTCTCAAAAATAACTTTCTAAAATTAAATAAAGTACAATCAAATCTTTCAAAAAGAAATTTAATGACAAATTATTTTTTCTTTTTCAAATCAAAAACCAAAATTTAAAAATCTATTTAGATTAAAGATAAAACTTTTCTATCTTACTTCCTTAATTTTCAAAACTTTAAGATAATATAACACCAGTCATGATCACGATTCATCTCATTCAAAAATTATATGAAATCTAAGATTTTATCTTGCATCAACGTTTCAAAAATTATACAAACTATTACATAATTTATCAACAAAACTAGACAAGGTGTGACACCCTACATCAACTTCAATATATGTAGTTTCAATCACTTTGATAGATTTTTATTTTTATTTTTAAAAAAGTGTTAACT